GCGCTGGGGGGGGCGGGGGTGGTGCGGGTCCAGTTATACAGCACTCTTTATTGCTGGGAGGGGGGAACAGGGAGGCATTGCGCAAAGACACCTGGCACCAGGATGCCCATTGTATTATATTATCGCAAGCAGCATCACTCGGAGAAAAGGGGGAATTGGAGTACATATTGCCTGGGGGTTAGGGGTGAGCCTGGCCAGCTTACCCCCTGCCCGCACGCAACACTAAACTATTAGTATAAAGGAAGGGGGAGATTCCAGTACTGACCTGAGTTCAGCCGTGGGATAGAGCGCGCATCGTCTGGCACTTTCTCGGGACTCATGTGTTGGTCTCCTGCCAGGACTGAAAGGGCTCCCCAGTCCATGTGTGAAGGTGGGTGATGATGGCACGTCCGAGTGTAAATAGCTTTGCAGCTGCTTATGCGTTTAATTGATTAATGGGGATTAATTATCACCGCTCGTGATAATAATTTGCATTGTCTATATTTTATTATTTCTTTTATATATACCTTAGTTCGTATGATATATGCTATTCTATATCCCTTGTGGTACAAGGTTATTTTGCATTTCTTTTAATTGATATATTGATATTGATTTTAATGCGAAGTTATCTTGCATTACTTGTATTAAAGTGTTTTTGAGTGAATCTAAGCGTGCCTGTTTGTTCCTTCGAGAGCCCTATATCCCTCTCTCATCTATTTTAATACATTCAGATAACACAGAAGCCAGCATATTATCCAAAGAACTGTCGTAGTTATTCGGATCAACTACTTTAAACTGATGGGTTTTAATGTAATATGAGACTGATTATTATCAAATTGTCACTCAGCACCAACACAGACTTGTCCTAGTTTTATAAGTTGAATTTAATCCATTCATTCTTCCAACTTGGATAACGCTGTAGTGTATTTGTCAGTATAGGGCAATACACTCTCACTCTGTGCAGTTTGGTGACAGCAGCTTGCCCTAAGCAGAGCTTCGGGCTTTGCAATGTGTGAGGAAGCCCACGTGAAAAGCACAGAACATATACAAACTCTACACTAGTGGTTCCCAACCTTTTTTGGCCTGTGACCCCATTTTGACCTCACAAATTTCTGGTGACCCCATAGACTTTTTTTCTTTCTTTCTAGAATTAGCTTTTGATCATGTTTGTTATATCGTGTTGCAGATACAGAGTAGCCAGATTAGTGCACAAAGTCATTTTATTTTCCCATATCACATGTACAGTTCGGCGAGCTAATTGTCTTTACAAGGCTGAAGGTGATCGCGATCATTTTATTTGAACTCATTTATATTTATTAGGGATGGGCAGATGCATTTTTTCAGTTCCAATCCGATTCCAATACACAACTGCCGATACCGATTCAAATTCCGATACAAGAGCACTTTTTACTTTGTTATACTTTATATATATATATTTTTTGAGCTAGTAAATACAGATGGGAAAAAAATGTATGACAAAAATATTTCATTAGGCTACTACAAACATACATAACGTACTGTTCCACCTCGTTTGTATGTCTTGTTTTAAGAATTTTTGAGGCATTTGCAGTTCAATATGAATATCTTCAAAGCAAGTATGCACTAGTGGCAAATGCTTAAAATTTTAACAATTTTTCTCCCATTGGCGTCAGCTCAGTTACACTTTGTTGCGATGGCAGCCCCTCTTGTATCACAAGCTGCAGCGAGTACGCAAACCAGTCCAAGTTAGAGTGACTCCCAGATCATCCATTGCTTTTTTTTTGTCTCGTACAGTTGCGTGCGCTTTGTTAAGTGGAATTGTCCATTAAACGCTATTCCCATCTCTCAAAACTTTATTTTAGAAAGATTGCAAATCGCTGTGTCACTGCTTTCTGTTAAAGGCGTAAAATAATCCCAGATTGTTACGTTTTATCTTACGCTCCTCGTACTGCGAAGGGTATGCGCATGACGTCACAGCAGGCGGAAGTCACTGTAATCACACCCACTGAGTAGCAAAAAAGACTTGAGGGGCGGCGTTAGCGTTTGATTTGAATGACTCAAAAAACACATGTAAAATGGGAAAGAGCTGTCGTGCGATTGATTGTACAAAAAGATTTAACACGAAATAGGAGCTATCTTTTTAGAGACTGCCAAAAACTAAATAAGTAAGTATAGGACGTGGATCGGTTACGCATGGCCGATACCCGATCCGTCAAACAGGTCTGGATCGGCGCCGATACCGATCCGAATATCGGATCGGTGCATCTCTAATATTTATTGATATTTATGAACGTGAAAGAATACAGTTGTTTAAGAATGTATGTGATGTTTTAATCATAATGTTTAAAAGAATGAACCCCTAACCTTTTCTCAGGGAAGTGCGTGGCTCTGTGCGTTAGGACTCCATTCCTGTGATCAGAAGGTCATTGGTTCAAATTCCTGAGAGATCTCACCATTAGGCGTTTCAGTAAGGTACTTAATGGCAGTTGCTGCAGGGATTGGCTGACCCAGTTGTACAGGTATGTTGTTTTGGATAAAAGTGTCTGCTACCTAAAGTAAATGTAAACCCTGTTGGTGTGAAGCAACAGGGCTACCTGTACTGACATGCTTCATTTTTAAAACCCAATCACATGACACAAACTTTAAAAATGATACCACTAATCAGGTCAGTCACTGGAAAAAGAACATTCTGTAACTGCCCTATCAACAATGGTGTCTTCTTATCTGCCACCCACAGATTTTCTTATCGACATGTCCAATGTCACCTGAAGTGTCACATGTTCATCCATCATTTTAGCATGTGGAATCAGCACAGGCAGGTCAATATGTGTGGCATCTCTAAAATCCCTGATAATCTGAAAGGCAGAGTTTTAATTGGGTCAGAATGGTCTCAACCACACTCCACCCATTCGCTTTCTTTAACCATCATAGGGTAGCCAGACAGGAACTGAGAAGTTCAGCTACAGGACAACTGATGATACCCTGAGTGAAATTTTCATTGTGGCTGCACTAACAGGCAGGGTTGCCTGCTATCTGGTGAGATCTCTGTCAGTTACATAATATATCTTGAAGAAATCTAAATGCATTTTTGATTGGTCAGATGGAGCTTCAGATAAAGTAAAAGAATAAAAAGCGCGTGTCCTTAACCTACCCGTAGCTATTACATAATTATGATGGTGCATACCCTTCAGTTATAAAGGAATATCCAGAGAGAGAATTGCTGATCATCCTGAGATATCCTGCTGATTTAGGAAAAGTACTTTTGGTAACATGAAATAGGACAGCAAAACTGGGATTTATTCTAAAATTGGATGCCTTTGCCTTAATGATCATGCAGTTACTCATAGATGTTAAAGGAGCTCTAAATTCCACTAAAATATGTTAAGCTAATGGAGAAAATCTTAATATTTTTTGGAAAAATTAATCTCAGACGCAACAAGTTGTCATGTCCCGATGGTTCCGATCCTCCTGTGTGCCACGCCCCCTCATTTACTTTGTGTGGAATCCTCTTGTTAGTTGTTTCTAGTTTTGTAATTGCTGTGCGTTTTTAAGTGTGTTTCTGTGAATGTTTCCCCAGTCTGGTCATCGACGTCAATCCTGCTTGTTGCTTCGTGTTCCCGAGTGTGTTCTCCCCAAATAAATCCTTCCTTCCCCCGAATCCCTGGACTCCTGTGCCTGCTTCCCCGCTCCATACCAGCGTGTTCATGACACAAGTGTGTACATTTTACATTCCATATCACTAAAATCATGGATTGGATTGGGCATGATCTCCTCACTCCTCTTGGAGGGGGACTTGGGGAGGACAGTAACGCAGCTAAAAGACCCCCAGAGTGGATGAGATTCGAGTTCCTGACAGCTTTTGATCTTGTTAGGCTGTTCTGGCTGATGCACCTATGGAACTTTGCGTGGAGGTTTGGGGCAGTCCCTTTGGATTGGCAGACTGGGGTGGTGGCCCCAGTCTTTAAGAACAAAGACCATGACTTCTGGTTTGGATATGGGATGGGGTAGACATGTGTTGAATCTCGTTTTCCATATTTTTTACATTCTTGTTTTTAAAAAACGATTAGCTCTATTATGTTTAAACATAATTGTTGTAAACAGCAAACTATAAATACATGGCCTCCAACTCGAGTAAACAAGGCAGAAAAGACACACCTGCTATCATCTTGGAGGCTATAGTCAATGAACTTTAAATGGCTTCCACAGTTGACTTCCTGAAGGAGCGCCATAAGACACTTGCTATGGAATTTAAATCTACTTCTTCAGCTCTTGAAACAAAGCTAGAGTGAATTCTGTCTACAATGTCAGACCAGAAACTTATGGCTCTCGAGTCCAACTTTAACCAACATGATAAGCGCATACTGGCTCTGGAAACCACCTGCGCTACAATGCTAAGATGCTATCTAAAGTTACGGACCTAGAGTCCCATAACCGTAGCACAATATCAGAATAGTTAGACTTCCGGAATGTATTGAAGGCCCTCGTTCTGCGACTTTCTTCGTAGAGCTGCTAGCAGAGGTCATGGGCGATAATGTTTTGCCCTCTCCACCTGAATTGGATCAAGCTCACAGATCACTCATGGCTAAATCAAAGCTCGGTGAGAGGCCGAGGGCCGTCATCATCTGAGTGCACAGCTACCAGCAGAAGGAAAAGACGTACGAGCCAGGAGAGATGACATGCAGTACGCAAGCGGCCCCATTGCCATATATGATGATTATGCTCTGGAGGTGATGGAACAATGAAAGAAATACCGTGAATTCCTGGCAGAACTGCACAACCTGGGCCTTAAGCCAGCCTTGCTGTTCCCTGCTAGGCCAACCATCATAACAAAAGAGGGAGATAAGAAAAGATTTTCTTTGGTGGAAGATGCCAAAGCCTACATAGCAGCAGTGTGTGCTCAGCCTTCTCCACCGGTGTAAGTTTACTACCTTGGAGTCTGCCTTCTTTATTATATATTTTTTCTGTTACTTATTATTAGACAACTGCTAGTTACCTGAGGCTTGCTAGCCATTGGAATTTTCAGTCTTCTTTCTGCCTGATTATTTTGGTGTTGTACAACGTCCTTGCCTGAACTTTAAAGCTAAAGTTTCTACAGATTTATGTCTGCTTACTGGAAAACACTGATGTTTACATACATTCCGGGTGTAATAATCAATGGCATGTTATTAAGGTTTACAATCACTGTGTCAATGATCACGATCAATAAGCATCCATGTGATAGAGATTTATGTTTTATTTGCACTATTGTCATTAATTTCACTATAGTGGTACTCACCGGCTTAACTGTAGCAAGTTTGGAGACATGATGAACCTGTTCTTTTACAATTTAAGGGTTTTTTTAATGTATTGTTCTATTTTCTACTCTTAATAAGGAAAAAGCCACCTATTTTTGGTTCTCATAAAAGGTGTCATGCAGAGCATAGCCACACTTGGGATTATGGTTGGGTTATTCGACTTTTCTACTTTTGTATTTGTTTGGTTGTTTGTTTATATATTATATATATTAAATTATATATTTTTCCCTTCTCTCCTCCCCCTACTCGCTCTTTCCCTGTCTGCCCTCATGCCCTATTTAGACTGCTAGACATCTGACTGGCATCTGCAACGCACTGGCGACTGAGGTCGTGTTGTGAGCAGTTAACACATACCGATCAAGCGCCCATTTCTCAGTGCTGATCGCACACCGATTTGCCTCTGATTCAGGGATTTTGTTGGCGATCTCCGAAAACTGTAGCTGAGTGGAAAATCGGGGCTAAAATTGTGTAGTGTGAACTTAGCTTCATTGCAGGTTATTACAGCCTTTGTCCATGGACAGATAATCTCTCATGTCACCCAATTAAGTAAGGCTGAAAATGTTAGGCTTTCAGAGATATCAGATGAATTGTTAAATCTTGAAGGAATATATGCTTCCACCCTTCCCCCCTCTCTACAACAGATGACTTCAACTATTTTCAGAACATGGCCTGTTGCTGACAAACTTAGCACAGAGGCAAATTACTCAATCTAAAGAACTTTTCTTTGAATAGGGAGGTAAAGAAGTGAAGATTCTAGCTCAACATGCCCGTTCAGCATGTGTCTCAAAGCTAATCCCTAAAATCACCTCAGAGACAAGCACTATCGTGTCTGACCCATTGAAATTTAATAAAGTTTATTGTTGCTTGCGGGTGTGTGTCTGTCTGCGTGTGCTGTGCGCACATGCCTCGTTTTTTTAACAGGGGACGGTCCTCAATTGTCTGGCAGCCAATCATATCCAGCTCACTTCCGTCAGCCAATCATCGCGTTCATCTGATGACGTCGCGCGTCTCCATCGGCCAACCATCGTGCTGGAGAGGAGCTACCACCTTACATCTTGCCCAGGAACCACAGGAGGAGGACGGCTTTTTCCAGCTGTCTGCCATCTGCAATGTGCCCGTTTGTCCTGGCTTGTTCTGCTCCAGAGCAGGAGCGTGCCAATACTCCCTTCACGCAGGTTCGAGCCTGTGTTAAGACACCCTAGGTAAAGGGGTGAGGCAACCACCTGTATTTTATGTTTTAAAACTTGCTTAGACAAGTTAGGTGTTATTTTGCTTATTTTATCGAGTTAGATAAACTACCTAACACTTGTTAGGGAAGCTGTTAGGTTTTGTTGTGTCCTTTTCTGCAGTGCAAAGTCCAGTCCCTCTTCTTTTTTAGCGTGTTTTGTGATTAGTTAATCTTCTGCTGAGTATTCCTGGTGAAATAAATGTCTTGTCTTTGCTCCCTGGCTGTAGAACTGAGCATGTGTGTGCACGTGTGTGTATGGACTATCTGTTTGGGGTGCTCCTCCTACTGTCCGCCACTTAAATGTTATTGATGCCCCTCCATCCCTAGATGTTATCCCAAGGGCGCGTAACATTTATTGGGGGCTCGTCCGGGATATTACTTAACAAATTTGGCAGTCTGACCATGGATGTGAGGGCCATCCTACTCAAATAGATCTTTTGGGTGTGGTGGCTGGGAATATAACCTAGTCCTGGTCTGGAGCTGATTGGGCTGTACGGTATTTAGGGTTTTTACCTGGTGCAGTATTAGACATCTACTCTCTGGTGTTCTCACATTAGCTGTCAGTGTATCAGCTTCTACATGTAATGGCTCAGTTCGAGGTACAATTGTTTTTAAACACTCCTAGTGTAGAACAGTTGGACTTGAGCCGTAAAGATGACCTTTTAGAAATCGGGGCACACTTTGGTGTTCCAGTAAGTAGGCACATGCTTAAAAAAGGACATTAAAAGGCTTCTTGTGGAGCAGATGGTTGAGCAGGGCGTTTTACTCAAAATGGCTGATACAACTGAGAAGAAGCCAGAACCGGTTACCCCTGGCGCCAGAGTGAGGAGAATCCTCCTAAGCCTACAGCAACATTGTCACGGTTTGACCCGCTGTCCCTGTTATCTTCTGGCTCGAGAGATGTCGTTTGGTGGAGGGTGCGTCTAGCGCGATTGGAGATGGAGCGTGGAGAGAGGGCAGAACGGATATGGGCTGAATATGAGTTCAAGATAGCAAATCGGAGAATGGAATAGGAAGTTGAAAGGGAAATTCGACTGCGGGAAGGTGAAGGAGTTCACCTGACCACCTCGTTCCCAGCCTCAGTGGCCTTCCGCTGACCCCGATGCCCCTGCCTTCCTTGCTCCCCCACCACCTTCGCCGAGTCCAGATATGCGAGGGCAGCTGCGGTCCACGTTTTCAGTCAGTGAGAATATTGCCCTGGTGCCGCCTTTTGCTGAAACTGAAATAGACACATTTCAGCATTTTCAAGCGTAATGCTAGAAAAAAAAATAAAATTCTCTTATTTTATACTTATCCTCTGATGAGTATTTATTTCTTACCTCTCATTTTTTGGTATGTCTAGCACAGTCGGAGAGTACTTTTTTCAGCCAGGGAAACACATTTCACTGTATGTTGTACCAGCTATAACTACATGTGACAAATCAAGAATCTTGAATCTTGAATTGGCCAAAAGAGTTGTGGACATTTCTGCTGCAGTGTAAGTTAGTTGGGAATAGGTCTGTTCTACACTCTGCCATCTCCACCACGCAACAAATTGCTCTCTTTTGGGAGTTTGCGTGTAACAATATTATTACATCAGTCTTTATACATCAGAATACCCTTGGGATGCCACAGTTTCCTCTAACTCCTTACACTCATTGAAATATCCCAAGATTGGTAAAACCCTTGCCAAGGAGATGGCTAACTGCATTTCTACCTTAGTCTATTCATATTGGGACGTCCCCAGGTCCCAACAGCTCTACAGTTCAATTTTAAAAGGCCTTCCCTACATTCCTAGCCCCTTTGACAATGATATACAGTGGTACCTTGCTTCTCGAACTTAATCCGTTCCGGACTCCGGATCGAATCCTAAAAAGTTTTAGTTCTGATAGAATTTTTCCCATAAGAAATAATGGAAAACCAATTAATTGGTT